TGTGTGTGTGTGTGTGCATATTATATGCACACACACACACACAAACAAATACAGTATGTGTGTGTGTGTGTGCGTGTGTGTGTCACAGTGTGTGTGTGGGTTCAAGCGTCACAACTGCAATCGTGGTGCGAGACCATCTGCTGCTGAGAGAGCAGCTCTGCCCCTCAGCTGCCCACATTGTAAACGCAATTTCCGCCGGCAGCAGGACCTAGCCAGACATTCGCGGTTCTGCCTGTGATCCGACTCCCGTTTTCTGGTCCCCTTTGCATAGGGGTGACACTTGCCCATCTGGGCAGTCATGCTGCTAGTAGTAGTAGTAGTAGTAGTAGTAGTAGTAGACACATCCTTTATTGCTGAACCCACAAATAATTGTGATACAAATTGTAAACCATCCGAGGAAGAAGAGAAAGCCATTAAAAATTAAAAATTAAAATTATTAAAATTTTGAAGGACGCTTCACGCAGCTTCATTATACTTGAATTGTTTGCAGGCAACCTGCCTACACTCAAGAGAGCACTGCATTTCACACAAATCCATTGGTATCGTTACAACGTTTCGGTCTTTATGACCATCATCAGGAATGAAGTGGACATGGAAAGAACAGCAGTATAAAAGAAGGAGGCAAGCAAGCAAAGCGCGGTACATAGTGACAGCGCGCGTAGAGAAGTGCAAAGCACGTCATGGCGGGTGTGCATTACTACATATACATGACAACACAAGCACAAACGGCGAGGAAAGTAGATACTGCGCTACAGCAGTGATAACAGCCCAGTTCCAGTCTCACACCACCAGTGAGGTGTCTAGAGCCCCGCGCCACTCGCAGTAAGGTGGTGTTATAGCAGATCCCAGCCACTGTTATTGTTAATTTCCGGGGATCGCTCCCTGATATTGATGGCCTCCCGGATCCTCCTCCTGGGGCGGTCACGCTCAGAACCGAGAACCCGGATACCTGAGAAAGCCGTTGCTCCCAATGGCAATGGGTCAGATGCATGCTTGGCCGCGAAATGCTCACCCAGCGCGGTGCCGCTCACTGTGTTGCGTGCGTCGTCGTTGCGTCGTCGTCGTCGTTGCAGCAGTCATGAGAGTCCTCCGACAACACGAGGGCAGCATCGATCTGTTCGGTTTCCGAATTGGGCAGGTCAAGGAGCTCCTCGCACATGTGCTGAGCTCCAACTACTTCCGGTTTGGAGCGCAGGTGTACCACCAGAAGGATGGTGTGGCTATGGGCAATAACCTAGCGCCCCCCTTTGCCATCCTGTACATGCATGACCTAGAGAGTTCGCTCTTGCGTAGTGCACCTGCCAGCCCAGTTCTGTACAAGCGCTACATCGATGATGTTTTCATTGTGTGGAACCTCGGTCCGGAACTTCTGCAGAGTTTCCTACATCACTTCAATAATGCCGATCCTAATATTAAATTCACTCACCAATCCACGGAGTTGACTGGCTCAATCAATTTCATGGACACGACCGTCCATGTGTCACCAGATGGATCTATATCCTATGAACTATACCGCAAGCCATGTCACAGCGGACTGGTATCAGACTACAACTCGTCAGTTCCCAACCAGCAAAAGAAAGCAATTGCTTCCTCTGAGTTCCTGCGTGCCGTCCGCCTATCCTCCGATGCCGACACCCTAAAAAGAAGTGAAGAAAAAGTAACCAACATCCTAAAATTCAACAACTTCCCAGAGTCAGTTATAGTTTCGGCACGTGAACGAGCTATGCGCCCCCGACGTGTCAGAGTGCAGAATGAATACCGTGTCACCCTCAACCTACCGTTTCACACCGAGTATATCCACAACAAAATTCATAAATTACTCCGGAAGTACAAGATAAATGCCCAGCTGATTTACAGGAACCGCCGTCTAAGTTCTATGATTTGCACGTCTGCCCTCCGCAAACCACCATGCCGCAGGTATGTAGACCCGTCCAGGCCCCGTAAACGGGGGCGGCCCAAAGCTGCTTGTGTCGCCTGCATGTCCGGTTCAGGGGCATGCACGGAGCGAAATGTTGTATACCACCTCGAATGCAAATGTGGTGATAAATATGTCGGAGAGACGTACCGCAGCCTCGCTACCAGGACAAAAGAACACAACGACGACGCACGCAACACAGTGAGCGGCACCGCGCTGGGTGAGCATTTCGCGGCCAAGCATGCATCTGACCCATTGCCATTGGGAGCAACGGCTTTCTCAGGTATCCGGGTTCTCGGTTCTGAGCGTGACCGCCCCAGGAGGAGGATCCGGGAGGCCATCAATATCAGGGAGCGATCCCCGGAAATTAACAATAACAGTGGCTGGGATCTGCTATAACACCACCTTACTGCGAGTGGCGCGGGGCTCTAGACACCTCACTGGTGGTGTGAGACTGGAACTGGGCTGTTATCACTGCTGTAGCGCAGTATCTACTTTCCTCGCCGTTTGTGCTTGTGTTGTCATGTATATGTAGTAATGCACACCCGCCATGACGTGCTTTGCACTTCTCTACGCGCGCTGTCACTATGTACCGCGCTTTGCTTGCTTGCCTCCTTCTTT